AAAAAAAAAAAAAAAAAAAAAAGTGGGAGGGCTGGGGATGTAGCTCAGTGTGAAGGCCATGAGTCCAATGTCCAATAGCACAAAAAAAGTAAAAATCTATACATGGGGCCTGCACAGCTCCTCCACGGGAATAGTGGCTCAGCACATTACCAGGTGGGCAACAGCAACTTCCCTCCACAGGACTGTGACATCTGTGGCAGAAAACTGGGGCCAGGTGCAGGGTGAACAGGGCCTAGAGCTCCCTGTCCCTCTGCCTGGCATTTGGAAGTGGAGCCTAAGCAGGAGCGACCAAGGTCTTTATGCAATGCTGGTTAAGAGGTAGGCAGAGCAGGCCTGCGCTAGAGTCCTCCCAGGGCCTGAACAAGAAACTGGAGAGAACCAGAACCACAGTTCCAGCCAGAGCAGCCCAAGCTCCAGTTTTAAATCAGGGCTGGACTCCTCCACTGGACAATTGGGACTTCAAAACCAAAGGGGGTCTTTTATTCGGGGGAGGGCATTTCCTAGGGCTTGACCCAGGCCCTTCACACTGAGTATATCCCCAGCTATTTTTATTAACTATTTTTTAATTTTGAGACAAGCTCTTGCTAAGTCACTAATTTGCCCAAGCTGGGCTCAAACTTCAATCTTCCTGCCCCAGCTGCCAGAGCGCTGGAATCACAGGTGTACACCATCATGCCTGGCTTGGAAGTAGCTTTAATCTTGCACAAATCTTTGTTGGAAAGAAGAAAAGAGGAGAGGGAGAGGCTAGAAGAGGGAAAAGAGGGGAGAGATGTTGTTACAGCTGGACTGTGAAGGGTGGGCTTCCTGGAGGAGGCAGCTGAGGCCCCTGGAGGGAGAGGCAACTGAGGCGACCACTGAGCCTCTGGACACTGTCCTTTCTAGACAACATGCCTCAGCCTGCAGCACATCAAGGCTAAGGTCCTGGCAGGCCCTCCCCCACTTCCTGTCCTCAGCCTTCGCTGATTCTGTCATGTACAGGCTTGAACTGAAGGAAAAGAATGCCACAATAGCTCTTTTCCAAATTCTACAAAGCGTGGCAAAAACATAACCCCAAGTGAACATGCTTCTGGGCCCTTCCCAGGACCCCGAGGTTTAAGCTGGGTCAGCTCCCAGGAGCCACTGTGTGCCCAGGAAGCCCCCTGCCACTATCCGGCCCCACTGCCTCCTCATTCCCTGCCAACCCGAGGTCAGACCAAAAGTCACGCTGACCTGAAAGGCGAAGACTTCCTTGACCAGAGCCTCCCCAAACACAAAGCCAGAGCCCGCTGTGGCGTAACTCAGGAAGATCTGGAGGGAAGAAGAAACAGGGGATGGGGCTGGGAATGGGGAAGGGAGCCAGAGCCCCCGCTGGCTGGGAGAGAAGGATGCTTTGCCCACGGGCCCTCCTGGCACCAGAAGGGTTGGTCCTGCGCCTGTCCCCTAGTCCCCTACCTGGCTATGTGCACTAAAGCAGTGATCCCAGGCACCTGCTCCTTTGGAGCACATTCTGCAGAACAGACAGTGTTTGGTCAATTTTAAAGAAACATGCTAAGATTAGAGTTGTAAAGGGCAATGAAGAAGAGACCATGTAGCCAGGCCTGATGGTATAAACCTGTAATCCCAGCGTTCTGGGAGATTGAGGCAGGAGGATTTCAAGCCCAGTCTGGGCAATTAGTGACCTAATAAGATCCTGTTTAAAAATTTAAAAATATTTAAAAGAGAGTGGGGTGCCTGGGAATGTAGATTAGTACAAAGGCCTTGAGTCCAATCTCCAGTACTGCAAAAATGAAAACAAAAACAAAAAGAGCAAAGAGATAATGAAGGAAGCCAGACCTTGTATGCAATGTGCAGGCTGCCACAGGTGCCTGCTGCGCACCCTCAGTCCTGACAGCCAATGGCACAGCCGCCCCTGCTGTCCCCACCCCAGGCATACTTCTCCAGGGAACCATGTTTGAGTCCTGAATTGGCATGGTGACCCCAGGGACAAGTCACTTGTCTAGTCCAGGCCTTAGTGTTCCCAATTATAGAATGGGCATGTGACCCAGGCAGGTGCCATCAATGAGGCCAACAGTGGCACAGGGCCAGGAGAGAGCTACAGATGTGCTAGGCAGTGAGAGGAGGTAAGCAGAGGCTTCATGTGTGCCTTCCACATTCACAGTTTAAAAAGCAGACCAAGCAGTTGTGAGGAGACACACCTACAATCCTAGCACTTAGGAGGCTGAGGCAGGAGGATTTTAAATTGGAGACTACATAGAGAGTGAGGCCAGCCTTGACTACCGTCTCCCAAAAAAAAAAAAAAGAAAAGAAAGGTAGATTAAGGGCCAGGGATTTAGCTTAGTGGCACTATGCCTGCCTTGAAAGTACAAGTTGAATACCGATACAAAAAAAAAAAAAAAGGTAGATCAAAACAACAATAAAAGGTAGATTAGATAGTTGTACAACAATGTACATGAACTTAGTAACATTGAAAAATGGTAAATGTTATGGTATGTGTATTTTAATACAATAAAATGGAATCAAATAGCTGGGCACAGTGGTGTACCCTTATAATCCCAGCACCAAGGGAGGCTGAAGCAGGAGGATTGCAAGTTCAAGGCCCAGTGAGTGTTGGAGACCAAGACCCCTGTGCGTCTCCACCCCCTGTGTGTGCCCCTCCACCCTGTGTGTATGTGTGCCCCTGATAGGAACTTTACACCCTCCTGGGGACATTCTGACCCCTCCCGGGAACATTCTGGCCATGCCCTACCTTATCTAGCTAGACCAGCCTAGGTTAGGTAACCTAGCAACCAGGAAACTCCCTGCTCATCCCTGCCTGCATAAAAGCTGCTGTGTGAGAAATAAAAATTGTCAAATTTTGACCATCTAAAAGAGCTCTGTCTGGTTCCTGTCTTCCTGCGTCGTTCCCGTTCCCGTTCCGGGTGGTCCCCTCCTCGAGCCCTACTAATAACAAACCCCCGCCGGCCGGGGCAAGTGAGGGCAACTTACCAAAGTTCGGTCACAAAATTTACAAAAAGGGATGGGGAGATAGCTCAGTGGTAAAGCACTCCCAGGTTCAACCCCCAGTAGTGCAAAAATAGTAATAATAATAATAAATAAATAAAATGAAAATTGTAACTTCAATACATATTATTTCTGAACACACACACATGCAGAGTATTTTGTTTTGCTTTAAGCAGTTAAGTATGGCTGCAACTGGCCACGCGTGCTGGTGTCTAGGTACCCTAAGGACAGGCCTCTCTGGGCTTCTCTTCCTATCAATCAGACTAAAAGGACTGCAGTGCCTATCTGAGGAAGTAGCAGTGCTCTGCTAGCCTGATGGGCTCTGCTCTTCTGGTCCCAAGCCTTCCCCATGGCCTCGCTACCCCCTCCCACCTTCTCAGGCAGCCAGGCCCATGTACGCACGCGAATCTGATCACCCAGCCACTGGAACGCAATAAAACCGGGTTTTGTTCTGATGACGAAGAATCCAAGCAGAAACTGGAGACCAAGGCCCCACGTTACGGCCCGCCAGGACACCTGCCACCAACAGAAAGTTCCTGGTGAGGTCAGCTCCTAGGGACCCTTACAGGACAGCATGGGGTAAGGGCGGAGGGCACAGGGAGCTGTGACTTGTCTGTGGGATAGCTGGAGCCCTAGGCCTGCTGCCAACTATCACACACACACGGGGAACCACTACAGGCCATGCACTTAGCAGGCAAATTCTTATGGTTACCTTATTTTCCTTCTCTCTCTCTCCCTCTCCCACCCCTCTCTCTCACTGGGGGTGAAACTCAAGGCCTCCACCCTGAGCTATGTCCCCAGATCATTTTTATTTTTTATTTTGAGACAGGGTCTTGTTAAATTGCCCAAGCTGGGCTCAAACTTGGTGATTATCCTGCCTCAGCCTCCTAGAACACTGAATATATAGACATAAGCCACCATGCCCAGCTAAAAAGTAGCATTTCAAACAAACTCTAAGGCAATTCTGATGTTGCTGGTCCAGGGAAGAGTCTCTGAGAGCCATTATTTTAAGCTAACAATTCTTGGAAACCCTGGTTTCTTTGCACAGACTCTGGACATGGGAGATGGTTCTTGAACCTATAAGCGGGAGGGCCAGGCTTGGCCTGACCAGAGGTCATTCACCAAGAGAATAAATGCCCCTGGTGGCCTGTTAATTTAAATGATATCCTCAGTTCCCTACAGAAATCCTCCCTACCATGCTGGGGACTTTGAGAACTTTGCTAAGACCCCCCAGTTCCCAGCCCCGGACCCAGGGAGCAAGGACGGGCATCTCCCTACTTCCAGTCAGGTTAGCACTAAGCACTCACAGCGTGGCGATGCTTCGAGCAGGCAAAGAGGACAGAGAGGAACACGCAGATCCCTGCAAAGGACACCAGCTGCTCAGGCCTCTGGGAGGTGTCCAGCCCCAGCCACAAGGCCAGGGCCAGAACTGCAGTGAGGGCGAGAGCTCTGCAGGAGAGAGGCAGGAAGCTGTACCTCTGCAACTCACATGCACACATGAGCACACACACACACGCACATATACATGTGTGCACAAGCTAGCCCCCGAGGATGAACAAGCCAAGACCCTCCTCAATATACCACGTAAGGCTCTGTGGGCCGTGGGTGACTGGCTCTTCACTCCGACTGTGGAAACACACACTCCCCCTAGCACTCTGTGGTGCCAGGGACAATTTCTTTTCTTTGCAGCTGGTTCTTTCCTAGGCTGTGTGGAATATACTTAGACACATTCACCGATTACAACTTGACTGAATATTCAAAGGGATCCTGTGGATCTCCGGAGTCTCCTCTCTGGTCTCTGACACTCTGTAATGCATGCCCCTCCCCCAAAGAGGGTACATCGATAGTACATAGACAGACATCACAGTACATAGCCATGATGCTCTCTGTCCCCAAGGTACTAACTCAGCAGACATGCAGAATGCAAGAGCCACGGCAGTATGGCTTCTCCACCTGGATATCAAAGGATGTGTGCATTGCCCACATCCCACTGTGGCACACCCTGTCAGCCCAGGAAAGCTGCCAGCTCCAGCATATCACTCCAGTCCATAGCAACAGCTATGAGGGGGCCAGGTTGCCCAGACTTTGGGGACCCAGCCCGCTCCCCCATGTGTCGAGGAGGAGACACATGATGTGAACAATTATTCTGGAGCCTGAAGACTTTTGTATCTTGCCCTCTTTGTTAGGTTTCAGCTTGCTTTCTTCCAGGCTCTGCCTTCTGGACGATGATTTCTTATCCCATGCCTGTCCCACCTCCATGTTTTGGAAAAAGGTGCTGTACCGTGTCTTGGTTCACAGGACTTTGCCCTTCCATCTCAGATGAGACTTTAGCCTTCGGAGTTGATGTTGGGCCAGGTTGAGACTTTGGGGACCCCTGGGATGTTGTGTATAAGGACATGAGTTTTGAGGGGCAAGGGTACAATGCTATGGACTGATGTGGTTCGTTCCTGCCAACTCATGTTGAAATTTAATATGGTGGCAGTAGGGAAAGGTGGGACCTTTAACAGGTTGTTGAGAGAAGTTAATGCCTTTCTTAAGGAAACGGATACATTCTAGCAGGAAGCAGTGAACTGTTTCCCTGGATTGGTTACTGTGACAGTGGCTTGTTATAAATCAAGGCTGCCTCTTCTTCTTTGCCTCTTCTGTTCACACTGCTAGCCCCTCTGCTTTCTGCCATGAGGTGAAGCTTCGCAAGGCCCTCAGCAGAAGACAGCAGTGTGCCAGGTGTGATGGCGCACGCCTGTAATCCCAGCACTCAAGAGACTGAGAGGCACGTGGACACTGTGAGTTTGAGATCAGCCTGGGCTACACAGTGAGTTCCAGGTCAGTCTCAACTACACAGTGAGACCCTGTCTCAAAAAACAAGACAAAACAAAGACAGCAGTGCTACACCATGCTCTTGGGCCTCCCAAACTCCAGAACCATGAGTCGACATAAACCTCTCTTCTTTATAAATCACCGGAGTCTAGGATACTCAGTTACAGCAGCAGAACATAGTCTAAGGGCTACACAGTGAGTTCCAGGTCAGTCTCAACTACACAGTGAGACCCTGTCTCAAAAAACAAGACAAAACAAAGACAGCAGTGCTACACCATGCTCTTGGGCCTCCCAAACTCCAGAACCATGAGTCGACATAAACCTCTCTTCTTTATAAATCACCGGAGTCTAGGATACTCAGTTACAGCAGCAGAACATAGTCTAAGACATGTCTGTTATTTTCTTCTCTGACCTGTCTCCTACCCTATGGCATCTCCATGATCTACAGGGCTCCAAGAAATCCAGTGTGATAATCAAGGGATTCCAGCCCAAACTCTTGTCCAGGGACCCGGGGGCCTAATTAAAGCAACTGGCACCTGAACCCTATCTAGCCAGCTCCTCAGACTCCACAAATAATCAGTCCCTTGGGGGATCTGACAAGAGGCACCAAGAAAGGCCCTGCATGCTTGGAAGGTCCGGACTCCCAGAATGTTTTGGTGTCACTGTCACCTGTGGTAACTGGGGCAGAGAACTAGCAAAACCCTACAAAGATGTGCTGCCTTTGAAGCTGCCCAGCAGCTCCTGTGCCAGGTCCCAGAAGGTGGGCAAGGTTCAGCATGTACCCTCTGACCCAGGACCCCCTTCCCATTGCAGACAGCGGGCCACAAGTTCACTCACCGGTTAAACCAGAGGTGCAGGCGAGGGTGACCCTGAAGCTTCACGCACCCCTTCAGCGTTGGGCCCAAACACCTCTTCAGCAGGCTGTGGGCCAGGAAGGCCAGGACTACACAGGTGACAATGCAAAGTGCCAGGGCCCTCTGGAAGTCCAGAAGACAGGCAGCGAGCAGGAAGGCAGAGTATGCTGGAGAATGGGTAAGTGGACACCATGATATGGCCCCCCCAACAGGTTCCACACAGGGCAGGAAAGCCCTTTTGGCATCTGTGAGCCTGGCTCTCTTGTCTGGAAATGAGAACACTCAAGCGTGCTGTGTCATAGGCTGCGCTGAGTTAACAAGCAGGACATGTTCACTAGGCGCTGGCTACTTTTCAGAGGAGCTCCTTTTCAGAGGAGCAACGCACCACACCCTCAGTGGAGGCCCCACTATGGCTGGAACCAGGCGAGCACAGCGATTGGCTCAGGATTGGGCACGTGACCTGTACCTGCCCAATCAGAGACCTCCCTGGGTCTTTGACCGGAACCATGGGTAGGACGTGCATTCTTCTTCCAAGACTGGGAACAGTAGGGCAATCTGTGTTAGTCTGATGTGCCAAGGCTGTCCGTACACACGGAATACCAACATCAGGTATGGAAACCACTGTTAATAGCTCGGGACAGAAGTACAGAAGACATAGGCTTCCCCACCGTACCTGGAGTGGGTGCAGAGGGCCACCACATGGAAGAGGTGACACAATCTAGGTACGAGAGAGTTAGAGAAAATCTAGAGTGCCCACACATGAGGAGGTCAAGGCTGACCACTGAAAGGGATAGTTTAATGACTGAGTCCCAACAGCCAAGATCAAAGGGGAAATGGAAGGAGAAAGCAAGAGTAATTTGTGTTCTGTACTAGAGCGAATCCAGTCCTTTTTCAAGAGAGACAAATCTGAGTCTAGGTGAATGTGGTGGCAAGGGGAACAGTAACCCTGCTGAAAAACACCCCCACTGTCAGAGGAAGCTTGAGGAATGGCTATGGTCTGTGTGCAGTTTTCATCCTTTGAGAGTTCATGTGTTGGAAGCGTGGCCCTCAGTATGGTGATGAGAGGGGGCAGGGCCTCGGGAAGAGTGATTAGGACCTTGGAGAGGGATCAACCTGAGCCATTTTTAGCACCATGCCCTTGAACCTCTAAAACCATGAGCTAAATAAATCTGTTCTTTATAAAGTACCAAGATTCAGATATTTTGTTACAGTAACAGAAAACAGACCATGAACAGGGACGATGAACTCACTCCATCTAAACAGACGACCCTGGTGTCAAGTACATCAAGATACTAGGCCCATCACAATCATCTCTCACCATTCTCTCCCTTCCCTAGTCACCTGTGATGGCCTTTGCACCCATACCTACCCTCTCTCTTTACCTCCAACCTGCCAGGCAGAGATGAGCTGCCCTGTGAATCCTACCCCTCACCCCCAGGCTGGGAGCCTTCTGGCACCAAGGGGCCCTTATGGCTTCCTTTCCTATTTCCCCTTCTTCCTGTGAAGTCCCAAGCTCAGCCCATAAACATGTCCACAGTATCTCCCATCAAGAACATATGTCAAGCCCAGCCATCAACATTCCCTCTCTGTTCTGATAAAAATTTCTCCAAAGAGCTGTCCATACTGTCTGTGTAGGAGGTGTCCCCTCCCTCCACACTGGCCTACCTGCCGCTGCTCCCTGCTCCTCCCTGGCCATCCCCCAGGAGAGATGCTTTGTGTTCCCAGACATCTGCATTCCATGAGTGTCTCTGTGTCCCCCCTTGCTGCTAAGGGGGTGAATCAGGAGGATGCAGTGGGGTCTGCCTTAGCTGGGGCCTCAGTTTCTGGTTTGGACAGGATCCAGCCCTTACTCAGTGACTGACTGAATAAGTGAGTGACCCCACTCTAGGCATGAAGGCTGGGGCAGTGACAGTCTCCTGTTCCTGGAGGAGTGGCAGGGGCTCACCAGTACAGAGCAGGCCTGTGCCCATCCATCGGAAGAGTGTGCTAGGTCTTCCTTGCCAGGCCCGATGCAGGCTTCTCCTGGGAGCAGGACCAGTCACATCCATGAGTGAACCCCAACTCCCACCCCATGAGATCCTCAACCTCTCCAGGCAGAAGCCACTGAGAAATGTCCTTTGGTGACAGGGGCCAAGCCAGGTGTTGGCCTTGATATCCCATGAAGCTGATAGCAACTCCAGCCCAAAGCAAACTGAGACACGGTCTAGGCCTTGGAGCTCTAGGTCCCTCCTGCAGCCCAACTATCAGGGGACAGACCTGCTTCAGGGAGTGAGAGGGACGAGCCTTATCAGCACACAGAAGCGCATGATGATGGCTGCTCCCTCCTCTGTCACATTTCCACCTGTCATCAGGGGGAGGTAAAGTGGGTCCCACTTCTATTTACTCCCTTGGGACCAGGAAACCTCATCTGAGTCCCGAGTGCCTATTCCAGAGAGAGGGTGCATGAAACAACCCTGCCTTGTCTACCCCACTGCCTTCAAGCCCAGCCTAGACCTGGTCATTTGGCTACCTACTTTCCCACAGGGAAAGTCTAGGACCAGAATCACGCCTGAGGCCCTCTAGGCTGAACCTCTGGTAGATGTACACCCAGCACTCATGGGATTCAATCCCCAGCTGCTGTTTTAAGCTGCCCCCAACCCTTTAAACGTGAGTGAGACTTCTCCTCACAGGCACGCAGAGGGACCCCAACACCACCCCTGCCCTTCGTGGTGCTCATCCTGGGCTCTGGCCAATGAGGACCCAAGTTTTAGGCTCACACCAGATACTCTGGGCAGGTCCCTTTCCCTGTGGGTAAAGCATGAATTTGAAACTGAGCCTTAGATTCTCCAAGGTTCCTCAGGGACTAAATGAGGTGGGACAGAAATGGGGGAGAGGGGACAGTGGCCACATCCACACCTGGGCTCCCAAAGGGGTGTCCTGCCCATGGTCTGGCTCACCACTGAGGGGGAGGCTGGCCCAGCTCACCCTCCCTTTAACAGGGGTTCACAAGTTTCCCAGCCTGTTAGGGGGCCAGGTTCTGTCACCTTCCCAGTCAGCCAGTGCCCCGAGGTCACCTACCATCCGCAAAGGCCCTTCCTCTCCACAGTGTGCCTGCCTTGGTGGGAGCTTGAGTCGCTGCTGCCAGGGAGCCAGCCTTCCTCCTAAAACCAGGGACAGAGAGATGAGGGTTCTGTGGGAGGGAGAGCCCTGCCACACTGCTGTACCCATGGGCACCTGAGGAGTGGGCTCAGGTGGGGACCAGCCTTTTGTATAGGAAATAAATGGGTACTTGATCCTCCTGCCTTCATAGTCTGTGTCTGGGAAGGACACTTGTGACTTCCCTAAGGCTGGTAGGGGCCAAGAGGGAGCCTCTGAGGACAGCCTCACTCATGATTTGAGGGTGCAGGGCATCACATTAAGGTCCAAAGTTGGAGTTGTCGCCCTCAACCTACCCCCTGACTGGAGAGGACAGGACTGGAAGCTCCTTGAAGGCTGAGATTTCCTCCGAGGTTCACCCCAACCTCTACATCATCTGGCTTCTCAATGAGACCTTCACTGACCTTTCAGGGTACCCAGGCACATAGTAGGTCCTCAGTAAATGCTTAAAGGGTGACATGAAGGGGCTGTTTTGTGCCAGGGGCTGACATGCAGAGGTCTCCTAACCACGGGAGCCAGGAGGGTGAGAGGAGGAAGACAGCAGCCTCCCACTGTGGCTGGAGCTCAAGGAGGAAGGAGGCTGAGGAGGCCAAGTTGGGGAAGGCTACACACCAGGCTTTCCAAGAACTCAGCCCCTGCATTGTCCACACCTAGGGCCATGGGTGTGAGGGAGATGGACTCTCTTTGTCCCTGAGTGTCGTCCTCCATGGGCCAGAGCTTCCTGCTGAAAGACAGAGTTGGGGAGCGCGGGATGGAGGCCCTGTAGGGAAGCCACAAAGTCCACCCAGAGCACAGAGACACCTCACTGTGCCGGGGCCTCACTCAAAGCCCCCAACACTCACAGGAGGTCCCCTTTTCTGCCCCACTCTAAACCCGTGAGAGGCAAGCCCTCGTGAGTGCTAGGAGTTCTGGGCAGAAAGCAGATACTGCCTACTTCACAGGAAAGAAAAGGAAGGGAATGAACATCAGATACACAGGTAAATGGAATGGTTGTGTCTGATACAGGCCTTTTTTGGAAGAGTCTTCCCACAACAGGCCATGATTATTAAGTGATTTATTGTCCACTGTGCTGTATTTTCTCACTGAAATGGGGGAGACATCCTAAAGATGTCATTCTCATCCCTGGAGCCAACCATACCTGAAATCATTTCTACCCTTGGACTTTTCCATTCCAAGAGCCCCTGCACTTCCTTTTTTTTGGACTTCAGCTCACCTGGAAATAAGAATCCTAAGATTCCCTCCTCCTCCTATTCCTCTCATTTCCTCCTTTTTTGGAGCACTTAGCTCTCTCCAAACACCAGCCTGGCTAGGCTGATGTAGCCAGACACCCACACACATGCAGAGCACCCTGCTCCTACTTACAGATTCGAGGTGAAGAGGTGGCTCTCAGAGAGACAGAAGCTTGGGTTTTTGTGGGACACTTTGGGTCCAACCCTTGCACTCTGGCCGGTCTTCTCAGCTCAGTGGAAATCCTGGGCAGAGTCCAGAGCTGCAGTAGGTTGGGCCTCTCTGAGCCCAGGGCACAGCTAGGGCGGGACCCCAACTCTCTCTCAAAGTTGGGGACAGCACTGCAGGTCCTGCACTCTGTCTGCTCCCGGGTCCCGTTCCCTCCAGCCACTTCCTCCTAGAAGCTACCTTCTGCTGTCCCTAGCTCCCTTCTCTATCAGCCATCCTCAAATTTTTAGCTTTCATTTTGCAACTCAGTCACCCTCCCTCCCTGGGTCAGTAACTGTTAGCACAGCAGCCTTCTCCCCTAGGCTGGGAGAGAAGGAAAGCAGCATAACTGCCACAACAGGAAAGTCTTTTGGATCTTGGCCCCAAGACAGTCAACAAAACAAAATGGCGCTATTCCCCCATCTTCTTTTCTCTCTTTCCCTTCCTCCTTTTTCTTTCTAAACACCTAAGCAACAGAGTGCAAAGTCAAGGGACAAACACTTTATTTTCTCAGTCCTCAGACTAACCATTAAACTTGGCTGACAGGACTGAAAGCAGCTCTTTAATAATTAATGCTGCACAACTCAGAACAAAATCTTCTAGGATACAAAAACACTCTCTGGTTACAGGGGAACAGGGTTCCCGGCACCAGCTTGGGGGCTGTACAGAAAGTGTAGAAAAAGTGATGGTGAGGGGCGGAGGGCCCCCTCTCTTCTAAACCGTTCTTTTTTGTTGGCCATTCTAATTGCCAAAGTATTACACACGCAGTGCTAAACACTTTAACATCACAGAAACATACAGAATGCAAGAAGTTAAAATTCCCCTAATCTGAGCCCTCCGTAGATGACACTGTTGAGTCTGGGACATTTCCTGCGTTTTCCTCTGAGTGTGTACCGCTTTACCACACTCATTTTCCACCAGGGGGTCACACTAAGCCAGCATGGTGTGTTGGCACACGCCTGTAATCCCAGCACTGGAGAGGCTGAGGAAGGAGGATCGCTGTGAGTTCGAGACCAGCCTGGGCTACATAGTGAGGACCTCAAAAACAAACAAAAGAGATACTTGATTTTTCCAGCAGCAATTTATGGCCTCCTCCCACAGTCAAGCCATGTGCCTGTAAATGTTTACCTGGAGCAGGACAGGGATGAGCTCACAGCAGTCTTGAAAGGGGCCCATCAAGCCCCAAACCAGATGCACTGCCTCTGCCCCTTCCAGTCCCATGACCCGTTTCTTGCGTGCTCGGAGGGACGCTTCCAGGAGGGACACATCCAGGAGCGGTCAGGGCGGCCATCCGCGGCTCCACAGCCCTAACCCTCTCAAGTGAGGCCGTCACAGCTGTGAGGCTGTGTGGCTCACTATGAACCTTGAGCTTGGCCCGGACTCACACTGACTCTCTGAGTTGGCTCAGGTCCTCTCTGTGAGCTGGTGAGGGTGGGCATCAGTATCCAGGGGCCACAAGTTTGTCAGGTGTTCCTCCCTGCTGTCTGAGACCCCGTCCTGGGGCCATCTCGATACACTGCTGCTGTCTTCCAGGCCATAAGATCTGGGCCTCTCCCCTGTTTGTCCCCTCACGGCGGGGTGGCCGACAGGAGTCCCAGCCCCCAGAAGCCAAACCTCTTTATTCTCAGGGAGCATTTGGAGAAAAGCCACAGGCAGGGCAGTTTCGAGGCTGGAGGAGGTAGAACTAAGACCCCCGGGGAAGACCAAGAGCTGGAGGATGGGGTGTCCTGCCTGGGCCTGCTCAGCTGTGTGGTGTTAGTGCCTCACCAGCCCTGCAAGGCCTGTGTCCTGAGGATCTGGTCTCTGAGGCCAAGCTTCCCAGAGGATTTAAAAGCATCATACCATAGCAATATATGCACTTCCATGTTTATAGCAGCACAATTTGTAACAGCTAAATTTTGGAAACAGCCCAAATGCCTCCTCCATCAACTAACAAATGGATTAAATGTGGTTTTTTTTAAAATACAATGGAGTACTACTCCGTCATAAAGAATGATAAACTTGAGACATTTCTAGGTTTTTGGGGGGTTTTTTTTGGTTTTTTGAGACAGGGTCTCACTATGTAGTTGAGACTGACCTGGAACTCACTATGTAGCCCAGGCTGGTCTCGAACTCACAGCGAAGCTCCTGCCTCAGCCTCTGTAGTGCTGGGACTATAGGCGTGCGCCACCACGCCCAGCAGAGACATTTCTAGTTAAATGGATGGATTTTGAGACCATACTCTTAAGTGAAATAAATCAAGACACGTGTTTAAATACCACATTGCTTCTCTGGTGTGAGAAACTAAAAGTGGAAATAAGGACTAAAATGTATAATAGACATTGGAAATGGGAAGAAAATGTTTAAATGAGAAGGGGAACCAGAGAGAGGAAAGAGGAAAAGGAAGGAAGGGACAGGAAAAAAGTGAAAATAGAGGGGAAAAATGGAAACAAAGCTTTTGTATATAGGGAGGGGAGAGAGGTTTGAGGGGAGGGGGGAAATGGGAAAAAATAGAAACAAGATATATCATGTACAGGTACAAATTCCCTACGATGAGCGTTATAATTATGCGTATCTAAAATGTACCAATAAATGTTTTGCATCAAAAAAAATTTTTTTTGCTGGGGATTTAGCTCATTGATTCCACCGCCTGCCTTGTAAGCATAAAGTCCCGAGTTTGATCTCTGGTACCAAAAAAAAAAAAAAGAAAGAAAAAAAAAAACCTTAAAAAAATTTTAATGGGGTTTCTATCTATAGTCTATGGTGGAAAGTAGCAAGCATGTAAAAATTCTAACAGAGCAAAATACAAAGACAGGAAATATCTTAGGCTTTTACACCCAATAGTAATTCATGATACATTTTCCTATGGGAATGACTTTTCCAAACCTAAGAGCAAAATGCTCTCTCTTAACAACTGTAAAACAGGTCCAGATTCTCTTAGGGGAAATGAGCATCTAACACTCAAAAGGCTAAAAAGTCCCAGCATCCTGGGTGTGTTACCCAATGGTGTCTGATGGAATCTGCCCTTTGGCCCTTCCTACTCCCTGGGGAAGGCTGGATGCTACTGGTCATTGTCCAACACAGAAAGAAACAGTGCAGAACTGATCGAGCAGACACCTGGTGAGAGTTCAAGACCACCTGCGGGGGGGGGTGGATTTCAGCCGGTAGTTCAGAGGTCGTCATTTCCATGCATTTCCGTGGTCAGTGCTGTCTGAAGGACATTTCCCTTGTTCTTACTGAGGTTTCTTTCCACCCCTCCTGCCACTCCATCTCATATTCACTTTCTCTATGGGGAGAGGTACAGCTGTTCTCTTTCCATTGATCCAGACTTGGATGTTGTACAAGCCCGGCTAGGTTCTAATTCATGTCACCTTGTTGGCTTCCAGGGTGATATCCTAGGTTTCCCTGGGTTTGGTATCAGAGGCTGTGTCTGTTTCCAGGTGCACCATCTTCCTCCAGCTGTTGGCAAGGCTTTCTGGGGCCGTTAATGTGGGTCCCTGTGGCCCCTTACTGAGACACTATTGATAAGACAATAGTTGTAGAGGCAAAAATAATTTCTTGGTTGTTCTATCTTCTCCTCCTGTCAGAGAAGTGATTCAACATAACACTCCCAAGCCTCAGAGCAAAGCCAAAGACTTTTCACAGAAATTGCCCTTTGGGGACCTCAGGCCTCCTGGGAAGACCAGGAAAATGAATCTACTAATAACTGCTAGGTCCTTGCTGAAAGAACCTCAACCTCTGGGTGTCACATCTAACAGGCTACTGGAGCTTTCCAGGCCTATCCCACCTCCTGCAACCCAGGCAGATTCCACTATTCCAGCAGAATTCTGTTCTCCTCTCATGAGTACCAACTGTTCTTCCTGTGTGAACCTGCCAATTAGACCCCATGACTCATTTTGTAACGCTCCTTTCCCTTTCCCTCTGCCTGTAGAAGTGTGTTTCATTACTACAAAGGCTGTGCCCATTTCCCCAGAGCTGTGACCTCGGGGTCTAAACGTGCCCCTTCAGCCCAGGACCCAGCCCTTGGTTGGGCACAGGTAAGGTGCCTCCAGCTGACTGCTGCTCACAGGTCAGCATTCAGGAGTATAGAAGAGATCTTGGCTATGGATAGGGAAGCAGGAGGCTTCTGGCTCAGAAGCTAAGGCTGTGTGCAAGATGGCTTCTGTAGTCCAAGAGCTTGGTGGCTGATGGGCTACGTGGTGAGGGCTTCACCTGTACTGCCTCCAGGAACCCCACTGTCACCCAGTGAGCAGGTACTGCCAACTGTTTTCTCCACCGGCCCTCTGTGGAGGTGTGTGACCTGCAAGCAACTCTTGAAGAGCTGAACAGCCTGAGACAGAAGCCAGGGCTGTGAGCGGTGGGCTGGTGTTGGGAGACCTGAGCTGTCAGGGAAGGCTTCTGCCCATGTTATTGTCACACCTGCTGCTTGGCAACAGGGTGGGTCCTGGACCCATACTTGGACCCTGTGGCTGTGAACTGTGTTCTCTGGTCAGGTTCCATGTACTCAGGGATCTTGTGTGTCTGAATGATTTTCTGAGAAGTGATTTTCTGAGAACCCTGAAGGGGCCAGTCTACAAGGCAGTCAGCTTTGCCTCTGGTCACAGCTGAGGCCTCAATGGTCCCTTAATGCTGGGATGCTCAAGGGCAAGATTACATCAGTTGAAGACATCCTGGTTCTTTAAGAACCAAGTAGTAAGGGCTGGGTTTAGCTCAGTGGCACCATGCCTGCCTCCTAAGTCCAAAGTCCTGAGTTCAATCCCGTTACAGGTGGGGGTAAAGGGGAGGGATTAAGCAGTAATACAAAAAGAGAGAGGTTTTACCTGGGAGAGACAAATTCCTTATCAGTTTAACTCATCTCACCTACTGTTGTAAGAAGTTTTGCTATCTCACAGTCCTTATCAACAAGCTCCTCATGAACCTAAGATCCTCTACTGTTGTAAGAAGTTTTGCTATCTCACAGTCCTTATCAACAAGCTCCTCATGAACCTAAGATCATAGGATTACCTATCATCATAGGATTACCATGGCCTCTGAGACATCTGGTACTCCTTATGAACCCAATAAATAGCGGCAAGCTCAGAGTGTCTTTGTCTTTGCCTCCTCTGAGGCCCTGACCTCCTGGCCCTTCCTGTACTCTGAAATTGCACAAGTTTCTGTTGTCTTTTTTTCTTGAGCCTTCACCGTCCCCCTTTCTAGGCGGTCAGAGGATTGATTGCCCTTGGATAGGACCTTCCATGTAGCTCAGACCCTACTTCCAGGAAAGGCATCTGTGAGTTGTACCTGCCACTTCCAGCCCCTGGGGGACAGTGCCCACAGGAGACCCAGCGGGGACTGCAATGGCCACCACTGGTGAGAACTGGTTGCCCCAGGCTGCTGGGGACAGGGTGTCGGCTCTGAGACCTAGGCTAAGACAAGGTGTGGGACCTTACCTGCCCTGGGGTCTCAGGGAGAACCTGGGTTTTTCCCACAGCCTGGTTCCAGTGAGGATTTCCATCAGGGGTTTGGTGAAACCAAGGAGGTTCCATGTGAAACCACCAGGGCATGTGGTCAGCTGCCCACTGGTTGAATTCATGGAGGTTCATCTCATCTGGCCCTGGACCCAGAGCAGACAAGACCATGGCCTTCATCCAGAAACTCAATCATGTGCCATTGTATGTCCACCACCCAGCCCTGTGCCTCAGTTCCAGGTGCGGATCCCACATCCCCTATGGGGTGCATCGCTTGTGGCTTTGTGTATGGTGGCTGCCATCCCATTACCTTTTAGAAATAGTAACAAAGAGCCATCTCTGAGCTCCACCAGCTCCCAGGTGAGGGTCCCAGACCTCTGGGTCTCAGTAGGGGCACCTCCTTTTAGAGTAGCTGCAGATTAAAAGAGGGCCTCTGAAGAGATTGTAGAGCTCAGATTTGCCCCAGAGAATAAGATGTTTCTGGGGCAGGATTGGGGTCCCTCTGACGGCCTTTCTGTTCAAGTCTGGTCCAAATAAGTAACCAGCAAAGGAAGTTTGAGGAAAGCTCACCGCTCAGCAGTCCAGGGGGCATCAAAACACAACAATCTAGAGACTGGCTCCATTGCACCCCAGCCCCGCCATACGGGATGGTGGTAGCAGACTACAAGAGAGCTAAGATTCCTGTCACCTGGGGACCTCACAGCCTTTCACTGTTGGGAGATGCATCACACCTGTGTCTGTGACGCTGGTGTAAGGGAAGTTACTGTGCTATCAGTCATATAAATGCACAATGTTCTGTACATCACACTTGGTGAAGATAAATAATAACGTTTCTGGTATATGGTTCACTCTCCTATGTTTGCTTTTATCATTATTTTAGAGTGTACTCCTTTTGCTTGTTAGA